TGTAAATAATTGAAAAATAGCCTTAATAATGAATTCAAGTAAAATCTTGCTGAAAATGATTTTAAATTGCTAAAATAGCATACTTTTGACACAAAACTGTAAGAAATTCAAGCTAGATTCAGCAGAAACTGTGTTATAAGAGATATTACTGCTGATACAAAATGCTGGTTGAAAACAGAGAATCCTGGGAAGATATTTCCTTGTGTTTTACCGGCTATGCAGAGATATTTGACTATGTGGATCGTAGTAAATTATGATTAATGTTGAGAACCACAGATACTCCAGAACATTTGATTATGCTTCTGTGGAATCTGTACATAAACCAAGATGTTGTCATCAAGCCAAACAAGGGTACACTGTAAGGATTAAAATCAAGGAAAAGTGTATGTCACGGTGATATCTTTATAGTACCTATTCAGTTTGTATGCTAGGCAAGTAATCTGAGAAGCTGGACTCTATGAAGAATCTTGTAACAAAGGATTGGAGGAAGAAATATCAACAACTTATAACATGAAGATGACACAACCTTGCTTGCTACCAGTGAAGAAAACTTGAGGCACATAAGAAAAAGAGATAAAGAACTATAGTCTTCAATGCAGATTACACATCAATATCAAAAGAACAAAAATCACCAGGACTGGACCAATCGGCAACATCACGAGACATTTAAAGATTGAAACAGTCACTTGTTTCAGTTTACTTAGATAATTAATGCCCATGGAAACAGAAGTAGGAAATAAAAAGATTCCACTGGGTAAATATACTGCCAAGGATTCGATTTTATTTTTTGCTAAAGGGCAAAGTTGTTACATTAAAGACTAAAGTACATCAAACTCAAGTGTTAGTACATATGCATATGAAACAGGCAAAAAAATAAGACTGAACAATAATTGGTGTCTTTGCATTGCGGTGGTGGTGAAAAATATAGAATATACCAGGAATGGTCAAAAGAAGGAACAAATGGTTGTGGAACACATGTGGTTGGAGTGCTCCTTCCAGGTCAGCATGGTGAGTTTTCCAAGGTTGTGAATCATGCAGGAGAAGACTGTCCATCTTTCTCTCAAGGAGCAGCTGGTGTGTCTGAACTTCCTGCCTTTGCATTGCCAGTACAACTCCCAACTAGGCCCCAGAGCTCCCTAAGTCAATCTGTAAACAGAGTTGGAAAAGGAGGATTTAGCAAAGGCGAAGGAAAGCCTTGATGAGATAGACTGAGATAGTAACCACAACGGTGACATTAAGCATAGCAGAGATCTTGAGGGCAGGACAAGAACGGGCAGGATTTTGTTTTGATATGTTGTTGTTGTTGTTGTTACCACAACGGTGACATTAAGCATAGCAGAGATCTTGAGGGCAGGACAAGAACGGGCAGGATTTTGTTTTGATATGTTGTTGTTGTTGTTGTTGTTATGTGCCATCGAGTCACTTGTGACTCAGAGCGACCCTATGTACAATATCCCTAAACTCTGCTCTGTACTGTGCCAATCTCACTGTCTCCGACACACCCATCCCGATTACCCCAGTCACTGAATCAATCCACCTCATAGGCGGCTTTCCCCTTCTGCGCTGTCCCTCCACCCCACCAAGCATGATTTCCCTCTCCAAGGACCTGTCCCTCCTTGCAACATGTCTAAAGTATGTTAGACGGAGCCTTACAATCATCCTTGCCTCCAAGGAGCAGCCCGGTTTGTATGAGTTGGAGTTGACTAGTTGGCACCTAACAACCACAACACATTTTTACATTCAGCGAACTATACCATGAGTTTCTCAACAAGACGCTTTAATTCTATACAAACGATTTAGACTAAAATTTATAAAACTCTAAACCCCATAAAGACTGGAACGTTCTTGTCTGCCTTGGTTTTCCCCATTTATCTAGCTGAATGGCCTAGAAGTATATGTATTTCCTGAATAGCTGACTAAACAAATAATAAATCAGGAAAGTTTCAACTTGATTTTACACTTGGTAATTTGGCTAAATCGATGAGCCTTACATTTTGCCACCTTTAAAGGGTGAATTATTCTGATTTGCTCACAGGATTGTTGTGAAGATTTAATTGGGAATACAGTAAGGAAGAATTTTCTCTAAAGAAAAGACATCCAAGCATTCATACACATGAAAAAAACATGTTAGCAGAGTTATTGTTCAAAATGTCAGCTATTTCTTGAGTCTATTCACTTATTAGAAGAATGTAAATGCTTAGATGCCATGTATCATAATTCTTTATCTAACCTATATTATCCATAATAAAACATCCTTTATTTTTGTTACTCTTTCAAGAATGAGAAATGCTTTCTGAAAAACTGTTTTAGTGAGATATATTAATGTCAAAGCAATCCTAAGATGTAGCTATTAGCCCCATTATAAGCAAAACAAAACGAAAAGGGAGTTCTGTATCTAGCATAGCCATTTCTTTAATCATTAAAGTATTTGCTTAGCATGGAATGACTAGATAATTCAAATATGCAGGCTGATGAGGATTCTTTTTCCCAAAAAAGGAAGTTGTGAGTAATTTCTAATAGATGCCCTCATCATGTCTCCAAAATAAGCATGGGATTATCATAAATTTGTGTGGTTTTAATATTTGAGTTTTGGTTTTGTAAATGTACCTATAAGCATTTGGATCAATTCTCCTTTAATCGAATCTATATATCTAATAGTACTGAAAAGATAGGAAAACTCTACTTTCTATATGATGATGTGCTCAGAACTTTCCCTGTAGAAATCAGTTTGCAAGTATGAAAACTTACTGCCACATACAAATCTGAGAAGTGAGTTTTGTTTGCTGTTTGCCATGGAGTTAGAATGAGCCCATAGCTGAGCCTCCAGTGGGTTTTCAGTGGCAACAGATTTCACAGGAAGAGAATGCCCGTCCTTTTCCCAAGGAACAGCTGGCAGATTTGAACTGCATGCCTCTAGGTTTCCACCACAGCATCTGCCAATAGGCCACCAGAGCTTCCAGAATTGAGTAGAGAGTGAAATTGAATCAATTTCTTTCTTGGGACATTGTATAATGAAGTGTCCACACAGAAAATCTTGGACTTTTTTTTTTTTTAAACTTTGCTGTACCTAAGAACCTAAAAGAACCTTTTATTTGTATTGGGAGCATTTTTGTACATCTTTTTTAAAGCAAACCCACTAACACAGAGCTGGAAACAGCTCAGAGCGGTCCTAAAAGACATAGTTGAACAGCTCCATAGGATTTCCAAGGTTATACATAATTGTAGAAGAAGACAACTATAAATCTTCCTGCAAAGTGGCTGGTGGGTTTGAACCTTTGAGCTTTCAGTTAACAGTCAAGTGTTGAGAGCCAGGACTGTGTATTATTGAATATCATCAAAAGTATTTGTTCAAAATGGAAATGTCAAATTATTAAAATATGTGGGAAAATTCTGATTCTTTCAAAGAAGTCTAGATGCTTCTCATATTTCCTCCTAATACTGAGGCCAGTTCCTTGTTGGGTGTGTTCAACTTATGTATAAATGGAGCTTGTTTTTAATCCAATTGGAGGCCTGCAGCTGCTGTTATCTGTTTTGCTGATATAATTCACATATCACATAACTTATCCAGTTAAAGTATAAAATTCAATGATCTTTTAATACATTGACAGAGTTGTACAATTATGATCATAATTTTAGTACATTTTAGTCACTCCAAAAAAGCAATTTTAAATGGTACAACCACTCTAGAAGGCGGTTTTGCAGTTCCTTAAAAAGCTGAATGTAGAAAGTCCATATGAGCCAGCTATTCCTTTGCTTGGAATACACCCCAAGAAAATGAGAACTGAGGCTCAGACGGAAACTTGTACACCAATGTTCATAGCAGCATTATTTACCATTACAAAAAAATGGAAACAGCCCAGATGTCCAAACACAAACGGATGGATTGAGGAGTTGTGGTACATTCATACAATGGAATACTATGCAGCACACAGGAGCAATGGTTTCATTACTACCTAACTTGGGAGGGACTGGAGAGCATTATGGTGAGTGAACTAACTCAGTCCCACAGGGACAAATGCTGCATAAAACCATTACTGTAGAATGAATATGAGGATCCAAGGCAGGTGGGGGTGGAAACAGCGGGGTGAGGATGAGGCAGGGTAGGGTGTTAACCATAGGGTTGCACAATTTGTTGGGTGAGTGAGATGAAGGAAATGGGAAGGATCTTTTGTGAAAAACAACGTATTAAAACTTTGTAAACAAATAAAAACAAAATTTAACACCCTCTCCTAAAAAACAAAACCCAACCCCTAAAACAAATCTATGCCCTGTGTCCACTAGCTGTTACCTCTAGTTATAGGCAAACACTAATGATGTAATTAGCAATAGGCCTAATAATTACCTCTCAGAAATGCCTGTTTTGGACATTTCACACAATTGAGCTTATGTAACATGTGTACAAGCTGCTTACAATGTGAAACCAAAAATATTGATCATGTATATTATCTTTTGGTATTTTTGTCATTTTTTGTTTGATACAGCATTTTGCAAATTTTTTCCCGATCCATTGTCCTTTCAAAAGAATAAGGATAAGGACCGGACAATTAGAAACCACATGCATGACAAACAATAGCCCTACAAGAGGGATTAGGGGACGAAAGTGTGCATGGATAAATGAATAATAAAGAAAAAAAGAGAATAAGATCTAGACTTATTCTCAGGAATAGTAAGTACTGTAATACTTAAATTGCAGGAGGAGTGGCATCCACTTCTGAAAAAGCTTGCCTCCAGAAACCCTATGAACCTGGAGAAAGGATGAAAGTTATACAAGTGTCCAGCTCTCGTTCATAGGGTCACCATGAGTTGCCTCTGACTCAATGGCACTCAACAACAACAACAACAACAACAACAATAATTCTAAACTTGATCTATGGTACGTAAGGTCACTGAGTTGTAGGCAACTCAATGGCACATAACAACAATCTAAACTTTAAAAATGGAAACATTCTTTGCATTATTATAACTTTAACTTCTGAAGACATAAAAGGTCAGATTGATACTTAAGAACTTCAGATTTATCAGTCCTTTCATTTCCTTCACAGTTGCATCAAGGTTTGTTAGTTCATTGTGGTGCAGCAGGAGGATATACAAAGAACGCAAATTGTGCAAACCTGTAAAAGACAAACACTTTTGTAATATTTTAAACCTTTTTAATGCTAACCAAACAGTTAACAAAGTAAATAATACATCACATAAGAGGAAGAACATTCTTTATAATATTCCAAACTATTAAATTAAGAACACACTAAAACGTAGCGATTAAAATAACTTACTGCATTATGAGGATATTACAGTTCATTTCTTTCCATGTTACACCTGTTTTTCTGTAGCTTTATTGGTTTCTTTGGTTTGGGGGGATGGTTTTCTTTCTATTTATTTATATTTTTTACTTAGCTTTATAGTGTGACCTAAAGGAGGTCACTAAAATAGCTAGCATACTCCAAATTACTCAAATAGGTGTTTTCTTTACACAGTAAGTAAAATTGTCATAGTAAATTTTTTTTAGTTATAAAATGTACCATTCCTACACAAGCAAAAGTAAACCATGCTTGTACTTGTGTGATAGTCATGTCATGGTTAAAGAAAGATTTTCTTAGTGGCATACAAAATCAAGACTGACTTGGAAAATGTATGAAATTTTGGTTCATATAAAATTTACTCAGAGTGGAATAGAAATTTAACTGGTAAAAAATAACATCCAGTAAAAATTTGCAAAACTATTTTGGTCCATTATTCTATTTATTGATACTCTTAATTACTGTTAATATATGATTCCACAAAACCTAGTTTTTCCTCCAAGCATGTAAAAATCTGTTAAATAAATTTTTCGTTTTGAGTAATAAACACAATAATATTAAAATACAATGGTAATATGGCATATCTTAAAATACAAATAACACCATTACAGAGTAAAAATTCCATCACATATTTTCAACAGAAATGTTTAAATATATCTTTGCATGTCATTAGTAATATTATAGGTTAAGGTTATTATTTTATTGGAAACTTATTCAACTAAGAAGAAATTTAAGGCATACCTGTTATTTCAAATATTGCATTGTTGTTTAAATAGAGTTCTGTCAGACAATAGTTTCTAGTTAGAAATGATATTCCTTGGAGCTGAAAACAAAAGAGGAAAAGAAACTTTCTGAAATAATCTATAAATGTGTTTATAATAAAACTATAGGGAGACCTTGGTGGCTGAATGAGGAAAGAATTGTACTGCCGGCCTAAAAAGGCTCAGTTTGAATTCACCAGCAGCTCCATGGGATAAAGATAGGCAATCTCATTCCATGTGATTTACAGCCTCTGAAAACTTGCTTGGGTGTCATCTATGGGTTGATTTTGATAAGAGCTATGAGTTGAACTGAGTTGAGTTTGTTGTAAAATAGAAAGATTCTATGGGTAAGATGTTGAATAGTGCAGAGAAAATAAAAGGAAAATGGAAATCACTAATTTTTTTTGCTATTGTTTTAGTGACATAAACACTCAAGAAAAATAATTGGTCAATTTTCAAACATTTCAGGAGGTAGCAATGAAGAAAGAAAAATACTGAAGGAAGAATTTCAAGGTGCACTGGAAATGTTCACAAGTCTATGCTGAACAGTTTGGAAAAAGTGTTATCCAGCCAATCAACTGGAGAAAGGAAAAATTTATGCCCACTCCAAGAGGAGGTGATTCCACAGAGCATGGAAATTATAAAACAATATAATTACTATGCAATCAAGTTATGTTTTGTTGAAAATAAGTTACATACAGCCGTAGCATTAAATTGACAGAGAATGCCCAAAATTCAGGCCAGATTCAGAGAGGACAGGGACAGAACAGTATTATTGCTGGTGTCAGATGGATCTTGGCTGAATACCGGAGAACACCAGAAAGACATTTACCTGGCTTTTGCTTGCATTTGACAGCATGGACCATAATAAATTGTGTGGATAACATTGTGAAGAATGGAAATTCCAAACCAATTAATTGTGTTCATATGGAGATTATACAGAGATCAAGAGGCAGTTATTAGAAGAGGATGAAGGGACACCACACAAGTTGACATTAGGAAGGGCATGCGTCTGGATTTTATCGTTTATCATGTTTACCAAATTTGCATGCTGAACAAATTATCTGAGAAATCAGATTATAAAATGAAGAACATGGCACTGATATTGGTGGAAAATTTATTAACAAACTGCAATATGCAGGTGACACAACCTTACTTCATAAATATTGGGAGGATATTAAGCACTTACTGATAAAGATTGAGGACTACAGCCTCTGATATAGATTACACCTGAACATAAAGAGTGGATATCCTCATAACTGGGACAAAAAGCAGCATCATGATAAAGGGAGAAAAGATTAACGATGCCAGATGATTTTTTTTAATTTGGACTTATGATCAACGCCTAGGAAAGCAGCAGTCAAGAAATCAAACAACATGTCCCATGAGGCAGATGTGCAAAGGCAGTAAGTAAATTGCATGGGAGGATATTGCCCCTGTTTTCCCCATACAGTAGCTGGTGGATTCAAATTGTGTGCTTTACCCAGCACTTCTATTATTGTTGTTGTGTGCCATCCAGTCAGAACTGACCCTTGGCTGACCCTCTTGCAGGTTTACAGAGACAGTTAATTGGGTGGGAGGAGATTGCCCATGCCTCTCCCATGGGGTGGCTGGTAGATTCGAACTGTGTCTTTGAGATTGCAGTGCAGCTTCTTGCCACTAGGGAAGTCTGTATTTAAGGTAGCATTTGTATCATTAATTACTAAAATCTACTTTTCCTTTCCCTATATCCCTCCTATGTTTCATCTTCACAGCTCAAACAAACCTCTTAATTTATATTAGGGTTTTAGAGGCAATATTTCTTAAAATGGAGTGTTTTATTGAAGAATAAAAGAAATATTTTGGTATATTGCCTATTTTAATACTCCATACCATGTATACAGGGAGATCTGGTGGCCTAGTGCTAAGATGCTGTGCTGCAATCTCAAAGGCACATTGTTCAAATCTGGAAACTGCTCCACAGGAGAAAGATGGGACAATCTCCTCCTTTGCAAATTATTGCCTTTGAAAAGCCACCTGAGGGTCAATTATGGATCAGTTCCAACTTGACAGTACACAAAAACAACAACTATGTATACAGTATTTCATGCAAATCTTCTGGAGGGTTGGCTATGGGTTGGTTCTGATTCAATGGCTTGGTACTTAGCAATAATAACATAACAAGGACAAGGTATTAATGAAAGAGATATTGATCAAGTGTATTTTTTAATATATGGTCTTATTTGGATCCACAATCAATACCCTTGGTAGCAGCAGTCAGAACAGCAGGAGATATATTGCATGGGAGCGCTAGGGGCTTAGTGGTCAGGCGTTGTGCTGTCAGCCCAAAGGCACACAGTTCAACACACATGCTATTCTGTGGGAGGAAAGATGGGCACTCTCTTCCCATGGATTAACTGCCTCTGAAAATCTTCTGGAATGAGTCAGCTATAAGTTGGTTCCAACTCAATAGTACAGAACAACAACAAATTGCATTGGGCAAATCAGCTGTTAAGGACCTCTCCAAATTATGAGGAACAATGATGTCACTTTGAAGACATCACCTGATTCAGATCAAGGTCTTGTCAATCACTTGCTATGCATCTGAGAGCTAGACAATGAATAAAGATGACAGAAGAATAATTAATATCAGGGGAGCTCTGGTGGCCTAGTGGTAAGGAGCTGCAACTACAATCCCAGAAGCGCATGGTTCGAATCCACCAGATGCTCTGCCGGTGAAGGAGGGACAATCTCCTCCTGTACCAGTCAGATCTGATTTGATGGAACACTTACAGAAAAATAATAAAATTAAAAAAAATAATTGATATCCTTGAGCAGTAATAACCCATAGACTGTCAAAAGAATCAACAAGATAAGGCTTAAAAAAAGTACAGACAGAATATTTCTTGGAAACATACTTTGGTCATGTTGTTAGAAGATGCTATTCCTTAGGAGGAATCATGGAAAAGTGGAGGGTTAGCAAAAGAAAGGAAGACTCTTGGCAAGATGGAATGATAGAGACTGCAGCAATGGGCTCCGGTGTGTCAGAGATGAAAATGATACAGGATAGGGTTTAGATCTGTTGTTCATAGGGCTGCAATGAGTCATACTTGACTGCTCCTAACAATATATGCTCTTGATTGTATATTATGTCTATTAAAGTTTACCACAAAAATTACTATAACTAGTTAAACAGAAATATTTTGGCCTGTCCTTAATAGTTCTAAGCCAATTTATCTGACTTAGTGAGATTATCCTTATTATTTCAGAAAGGTTATGTTAGATTTATATACAAATTTTTGGCCAACTTTAAAAATATTTTTTCTAATATTTGCAATATTCACAAATTATGAAGCTATAAAGGTAAATGTGTTGTTCATCTTGTTTTTTGAGGTTTTTTTTTCTTTTCAGACTCACCACCAAATTAAGTCATTACATAAACGAATGATTTTACTACAGTTCTTATTGTGAATGGAACCTTGTTTTTCATAGGCAGGAGAAACTATTCCAGGCAGGAAGGTGGGTCACGATTGGCTTTCCATCCCTTTCCACTTTCCCTTTCTGTCTTTTGGTATTAACTCACAGTCTTCCATTCTTCCTCTCACCACTCCTTGATCTAATCATAGCCATATCTGACATCAGCATAGGAAAAGAACTTTAATGGAAACCACAACTCTTTCTTCTCTCTTTTTTTCCAGTTGTCTGCTGACCACACATCAACTCAAGATTACTAATTAGCCAAGACTTTAATTCCTCTTGCATTACACATTAACATGTGAATAAAATTCTAATAAACTCAACTATTTCATCTTGATGTGAAAATTATTTTCTCAAGAACATTAATAATCTTGGATAATAATTACTGAGATTTTAAGGCTGCATTATTTGTTGAGATGGTACAAGACAAAGTCACGTTATGGGAGCATTGGTAAATTACACTGAAAGATGTTGTGCAGATGGACGTTTTTATTTAACCAATAAAATGGCTGAGTAGAAAATGAATCAGAAGAGTGTAATAGCAACAGATAGGGAGCTCCTGTGGCCTAGTGGAAAGGAGCTATGCTGCCAACCCAAAACAGATGGTTCAAATCTACCAGCTGTTCCTTGCTAGTTAGAACTTTTCCTCCTATGTAATTTATAGCCTTTGAAAACTCATTGGAGAGTCAGCAATAAGTTAGTTTCATTAATGCGAGGAATGAATAAGGAGAGTGTGAATCTGATTCAGAAGAATATGGTGGTGGATTAGGGTGGAGTATGATAGCAGAAATGTAAAGTTGAAATAATTGAGACTTAATTCTAAGATAAAATGGACAGATTTAATAGGTAAATTGCAAAACAGAAAGCTGTCAAAGTCAATATCTAGCAACTGGAAAACATGCTGCTCTGATAATTAAGTCAAAGGTTGTTGTTGTTATATGTCATTGAGTTGCTTGCAACTCATAGTGACCCTCTGCACAACAGCTCTGAAGCCTACTCTATGCTAAGCCTGTCTCAACATCTCCTGTACACCTACCTCCATCACTCTAGTTATTTTGTCAATCCATCTCACCCAGGGTCTTCTTTCTCTCCTGCCCTGACCCTGGGCCCTTCCTAGCATAATGTTACCTCCTGGCAACATGCCCAAAGTATGTGAGACGGAGTTTCAAGATCCTTGCCTCCAGGAAGTGACTTGGTTTCATTTTGTGCAGGGCAGACTATTTGTTTTCTAGGCAGTCCGTGGTATGAACTCTTCAGTACCACAATTCAAAGTCATTGATTCTTCTTCTATTATTCTTAGTCATTGTCTAGCCCTCTGATACATCACAAGTATTTGTGCAAACCATGGCCTGGATCTGTCGCATCTTCATCTCCAGACTAACATCGTTGCTCTTCACAACTTTGGAGAAATCCCTAACAGCAGATTTACCCCATGCAATTTTGTGTTTTTATTTTCTAATGGCTGGTGCCAAGGGTGTTGATTGTGGAGCAAGTTGAAATTGTTAACAATCTCAATTTCCTCTCTATTTATGATGTTGCCAACTGGTCCAGAGGTGAGAATCCTTGTCTTCTTAATGTTGAGCTTTAATCTATGTTGGATACTGCA